CCCCCCCCCCCCCAATCAATCTAACTCAGAAAGTAAGCACTACACCTAGGATGGTATTACTTCTTTACCAAGTTGCTGTACAGTAGATATGAGGAACTTTTGCTATCTGCCTACACAACTTTTTGCTGGGATCACATGACTATTCCAAGGTATTCAATACCGTAATTTAGTTGGTACATACTACTGCACGTGTAAATCTGACATGTCTTGGCATGAAAAATGATTGGACTGATAGCAGTAAGGCATGTTGAGGTCCATTGTTTGTATATGCAATTGCATGTGCTTCTTGTTTTAACTATACAGTAGTAGTTGGAATATACTTTTCTATAAAGACTAAGTATCGAGTTTGTACTAGCGCAAGTACGAGCCAACAATCATTGGTCAGGTACGACTAAAAATCTTGGATTATCGCACGGGCCTGGCGGTGGGTGGGATCAGTCATACTGTATGTACATACAACTATATATGTATTACTCACTGCTTGATTCTTTAATCGATCACGGATCTAAACAGACAGAAGATATTCATCAGCATATTATGTACTGTACAGTCAGTAAGGGAATATATTTGGTACATACTTTCTGTAGTTCCTGTTCTTTTGTTAAGTTAACTCCACCACCAGCACCTGGAAGCATAACAATTTTCAAGTTACTTGGATACATTCATAAAGACACCTATCTCCAACATAAGCAGTTTAAAGGGTCATGATCAACCACAATGCAATGTGTGCATTTGTTTACATTTCTGTTACGGTGTGGCCAGAGGCAGCCATTTTTGTGGCCTAAAAAATGGCTGCAACTATTGAGGAAAGTAACAGAAAAACATAAACAAAAGTGTGTATTGCATTGTGGTTGATCATAATCCTTTAATGACACACCTAAATTAAATGTCTTCTTCTTTTCACCATCAATCTCCTCATCATATTTTGATAATAAACCCAGAACTTTTTGCTATAAATATCAATGCCATTGTTACAGTAATTAACTGGTGATTTATTTCTAATTATTAATTAATTCATTAATTAACAGATGATTTATTTCTAATTAATTCATTCATTATTCATTACATAACAGATTCATTCCTAATTAATCATTAATTATTCATTAATTAACAGATGATTTATTTCCAATTACTAATTAATTCATTAATTATGATGTTTACAGTACCTCGCCAGCCTCGTCAAACTCATCATAGGCTTGGTAACCAGGCTTCTTTTTCCTCAACTCTACATTTTTATTTGCCTGGCAAAGTAATGAATGCAAAATTGATGGTCATTTTAAAGGTCTACCCAACTTTTCAGACTTGGCACAAAGCCTGGTTAATAAAGCACCATGATTACTGTACATACCTTTTCCGTATCAATCAAGTTGACATTGACTAAAACATCATCTTCATTGTCTAAAACACCTGCAAGATAAACATGTTAAATATACAGTATGCTGTACACTAGTCCAAAAAATGGAATTGAATCAACACACCTGAATCTTTTAATGTTAAAACAACATCTTTTCCTTCCTAAAAATATAAAACATAAGTTTATATGCATGTCTGATGTCTGTCTGATTTGCATTTTTCAAACTGACAGGTACTGTAACTCTGAATTCACTCACTTGTAATTATAAAATGGTACCTCAGTTACAGTACAGTTGCAATACTGTATGTTACCTTGATCATCTCAGAAGAATGTTCAACAGTCAACCCTTTCAAATTTCTTGCTGTATAGCCCTGAAATATTCACCACGCAATTGATTATAGGTTTACTTCTGGTTACTCTCTAGACAGTATAATCTTCCTTATAAATGGGAGAAGTGATTAAATTAATATAGAGAATTAAGGATGTTTTCCTGTGAAGAACATGTTGTTATGATCTACCTTAGTTTTATTTCCCATGACATTCTCAACCAGTTCTCCAACACCAAACTCCTCATCCATTTCTTCAAGTAACTGAGCTCGTTTGGCAGCTAACTTTTTTTCAGTCTCTTTCTTCCTAACTTTCTTCACCCACAACAAAGCACTGTCTTCATTATCACTATCACTTTCAGCAAGTCGCTTCACTTTTCTAAAACATACAGTAAAGCCTAGCAGACACTGGTTTTGCAAGTGACTGTTTAGCACAGCGAGACCAGTAGTGACCTTACACAAGACATATTACTAAGTATTAAGTTGCTTTGAATGAAGTGATCATTATTCATTTCTTACCCTAATTTCTTCTGCATTTCTCTCTTTTCCCTGATTTCCTTTAATCTTTCCCTATACTGAAGATGATCAATGTATCAAACACTACTATAATGTGCCTAGTTTATAAAACACAACATGGTAACAAACATTAAACCTTTTCCTGACTCTCTTGTTGAGCAATGTTGACAGGGGGAGCATGGACAAACTCCTCTTCTTTATCACCAGATTTTGCTTCATCTAAACAAAGTGGATATTTAATTGATTTTATCACCTAACCTAGCCACTTCTAGTGTCCAATACAGAAGAATTTATAAATGGCTGCTAATAAAATGTCATTATACCTGAATTTGTGGATGGAACAGTCAATGGTTTTAGTCCAAGTTTTGCTCTTATTTTGCTAAAATATAACAAGTTTGCAATCAAAATAGATCTATCAATAAATTATACTTGATATTTCTACAACCATTGTTTTCATAAACTACATACAACGTCATGAAATGACATCACACTTACTTTGTCTGTTCTATACTTAATGAAGCTTCATCCTTGGTTTGTCCTTCTTCTTGCTCTACTACAACATGTAAACACAGCAAAGTGAAAATAAACCTCTGGTTGAAAATATAACCGTTTATGGGCAACAACATCCAATTAACAATGTTTCTCTGATTTTAAAATTTATTTAAACACAAGCTTTCGACTTAGTGATAACTTTACCTGTCGAAGACTGGCATTCAAAAGCTCATGTGTGGATCAGGGAACGTTTCAGAAACTTTATTACGAATCCTAGTCGCGCATCTAGTTGACATTTTTAATCCAATTAACAACCGACCAATCACAACACACTTGACAAGTGTTGAACTGAACCAATCATCAAGCTTTTTTGTGAAACTACCCAATATTCTGACCCTAGTTTAAACCAAGGTTGGTAACTTGGCCTTTTTGCAGCCAAATAACTTGATTTTGGCTTTTTTATTTCTTGTTTGGCCTTGAAAAAAATGTTTGGCCTTTTGGCTCTATTTTGGCTTTTTTATCAAGTGACAGGAATTTTCACTATTTTTAGTATAATTTATTGTGAATGAATGTTAAACCATAAAGCAACATGTACAAGAATGTAAGAATTGGGTATCGTTGACAGAAATAACCTAATTTTATTGACACATTTCAGGAAATTCAGCCAATCATAAAGCTGAAAACTAACCAATGACAACATGGTAATTATGTCTTCGCATAGGTCCGCCCCGAAAAATGACAAAATTTGCTTTAAAAGTTAAAATTTTTATTTAACAACATACTGCAAAGTCAAAAATATTGATAAGATTTGGCTCTTTTCTGGCTTTTTTCCAAAAAATGAAATTTGGCCTTATTTAGTAGAATTTGGCCTTTTTTAAAGGTCATTTGGCTTTGTGCATGCGCGAAAGCCTACCAACCCTGACCAACTGGCACAGTGTGATTAAATTAATCAATACTGTTTTCAACCAGAGGTTTATTTTCACTTTGCTATTTCTAATATTTATACAATGAAAATAAACTTCTGAAACCAGGAAGAGTAAAAGGAAGTACAGTACTTCAATGGAGACATTTGTAATTTACGTTTATCCAGTATACTACCCTGCCACTTGCTCCATTCCTCACAGTATATAAATACGTGACTATAGACATTTTATATCCAGTCATATATATTCAAAATACTCACCCTTACTAATAAAGCCATGTCCATAGTCATAAACATTCTGTTGAACTTCTACAGGATCATGTAGGGCATAATTTAACAATTCATCATCATCCTCACGTCGTCTTCGTGATTTTTTATCACTACCTCGCTCCCTTTTGTCTCGTTTGTGTTTTTTACGCTCGCCGTCTTTGTCTTTTTCTCGCTTCTTTTTAGACGAACCCATTGCTTTTTATAAGATATAATACGTTTATTCAAATAACAAATAGCATACGTGGTAGATATTTGAAAGAAAACAGGGGAAGTTTTGACGACTAGAAATGTTTATCTCGTTTGAACAACGTTGGCCACCATATTGAATAAATTAAACTCGCCGGAGTCTGGGACTAGATATTAATATTTGATTTTTATCTGTTTTTCAGTCAGAAAATGATTTCTCACCACTTTAAAGACAGAAATGCGTAACATACGATATATAAGAAACAACTGTTAAGATTTTTTAACCTTTGTAATGAAGAAATATTTGCTCTAAACAATGCTAGAACCAGTGGCTAGAAGTTCCCTCCTAGAACTGATTAAAATTATCAGAACCCCACTCCAGTTTACAAATTAAGAACAGTTCTATATTGCGCAATAATCTCAAACTGCTGAGCAATAGCGTGGGCGCAGTTTCTAAAAATAATTTAGTGACATCTTCGAGAGAATTTGTTTATTTCAAAATTTCTCCACTTCAACATGGGTGAGTTTTTTGCTATTTCTCTCTTGCTTCGCTGTATTTTGTAGAAAATTTAATACTTACATATTTATTTGGCAGGTTTCCGTCCGCAAAAACTGCGTGTGAACCTTAAACTGGCCATAAACCGGCTCAAACTACTGGAAAAGAAAAAAAGTTCGTAATACATTTCTGTTTATATTTTTATACCAATACATGTATTCTAGATTTTTAGATTTTGATAGTTTGGGTATGCTATTAAATACCTGTGTTTGTTTGCAGCTGAGATTGCTATGAAATCAAGAAAAGAAATAGCTGATTACCTGTCGCAAAACAAAGATGATAGAGCCAGAATCCGAGTACGTATTGGTACATGCATTTATAAATAGCTCCCATTAATGGAAAAGGGCTATTGCGTGTAGCTTTGTAACTGGGGTTCAATTCCCACAATATGTTTTCTGATTTCACTTCAATATTCACTAAGTCCAGACTGTTTTTCAGGTAGAACACATCATTCGAGAGGATTATCTTGTGGAAGCAATGGAATTATTAGAACTGTATTGTGACTTACTTCTTGCCAGATTTGGTCTGATTGAAACAATGAAGTAATTGTTTTTCCTATCATTAAAATTATGATTGCCATTACCCCAGCTTGACAAGCACCATCACTACTAACATCATTTTATACCATTATCATCATAAAGCCGGTTTTCCACTAGGCGGAATTTTGCGCGCGGAGCAGACTTTTTCTGTGTCTTTTCTAATTAGTTCCACCCGAGAAATCACAAGACAAAGAAAAATGCCGCTCCGCGCGCAAAATTCCACCTAATGGAAAACCGGCTTTACTGTGACCATCTCAACCACGAACACCACCTTAATGACAATAAATCATCACCATAATTGTTACCTTATGACTGTTCTCATATTCACTCTAATTAATTCACCATCATCTTAAGCACCATCATCACCTTGGAGAAAAAAATAATATAGTTAAACATAGTTCTTTAATACTGTGTGTAAACTTCAGACATTGTGATGAAGGTTTGGTTGAATCAGTTTCAACATTGATCTGGGCAGCACCACGTCTGCAGAGTGATGTTCAAGAACTTAGATTGGTAAAATATTTTGTTAAATCGTGGATGTAATTTTAATAAAGTTGCTGCCATTTGCTAACTTGTTAGATTTTTACAGATCTCTGAACAGTTTGGTCAGAAATATGGTAAACCATTTGCAGAAGAGGCTGCCAGGAATACCAACAAAACTGTCAATGAGAAAGTTAGTACCTTCCCATGTCCTGTCACACATTGACCTGCAATGTGCCCACCTTTTACTACTTATTTTATGCTTAATACCAGACAATCTAGCCATTCTTAGCTTGTCATTGCTAGATCATTTTACTTGAATGAGTTGAGTGTCAAAATAGGTTAACTGACTTTTGTTTGTTACAAACTTTTCAGTTGATCAACAAACTCAGTCCAAATGCTCCACCTAAAGCTCTCGTTGAAAGGTACCTTATCGAGATTGCAAGAAATTATAATGTTCCTTACGAACCTGATCCATCAGCCATGGTAAGGATACCACAATAAAAAAATCCAACCAATAAAACATCCACATCTCTCCCACAGAGAAAATTAGAAGTTAATAAACTCCATACCCCTTCAGATACCCTACCCCCAAATACATTAGTAGAAATTTCATGTGACAGTGTGGATCTTTTCTGTAACAGTGTGTTGCACTATGTACAGTATAGCAATTAGACCAGACCTGGGCCAATATCGGACCATTTTTGTTCAGACCATCCACCACACCCGAGGGTCGGAATAAAAATATTGACACAGTTGAAAAATATTGGTCACTTCAATACTGCTGAGCCTGCAATATTTTGCCCTTAGTCGGCGAACAATTCAGCATTGATATGCCTCACATTCTGACTCATGGTCAACAGGCAAATATCCAAGCAGTGTCCATCACAATAACATGAGTGAATGTGGGTCTATGGGGCCCACTAAATTTACTCCTGTGTAATAGAAATGCTTGGTTGCCATCAATTGCTTCATGGTTACATTATAAAATGTTGTACATACTTTAGGGTGAGCTGTCTGACATTGATAGCACCAAAGGTGGTGATAACAACAGTGACTTCCATGGTAGCAGTGGGTTTGATGGTCCCAGTGGTGGTTTCCATGGTGGGTTTGGTGGTCCAACTGGTCCCAGCAGTGGTGGTGGTTTCAATGGTGGCAGTGGATTTGGTGGTCCAACTGGCCCTAGTGGTGGTAGTAATCCCAGAATTGGTTTTGAAAATTATGACAATCCTGGAGTGAGCTTTTCTCAAATGCCCTCCGTTCCTGGACAAAATGCTGGTCTTGCTTATCCTCCACCGCAGGTAATACTCTAGAAACTTTTCAGCGGTTGATTGAGAGATCCAACTGGTAAAAAACCCCAGATTGGTTTAATTACTTCATCTAACCCTCATTTAATACATATTGAAATAATTAGGGTTAGAAAAGGTATGTGTTTCAAGCTGTGTGCCACAAATAAGCGAACAAGATTTTAGGTTTCACACTGATGCCCAGCAAATCATATATTCTACAGAATTTTTGCATTATTGACAGCATGAAGCTATATAATCAAGGATTCCCTTTCTTATACAATACATTTTAGCAGGGGGGGGGGGGCAAAATTTTGCCAGGGGGGCAGCCCTGGCTACGCCTCTGTGGCTTTGGCGTTTCGACTGAAGGCTGTCTTGTCATCGTCGTTACCTCCACTGGCATCGGCCGTGCGAGATTATATTCTGGAAATCTTTCGACTTTCAGCGTTGGTCGGCGCGCATACAAAAAAGACGTAGCTGTTTATTCCTAATAAAGATTTAGAGCAGTTGAATGTTTTCAACGAAAGTCCTTCATGAAAAACGTCTGCATCAAACTTCCGCTCAAAACGTGGTTGTACCTTTCATTTGGTAGTTTACACACGTATTGCTTACACGCTCTTCTGAGCAAAGTTTCAACTAACATTTCCTTCTCACAACAGGTCAACTCTGTTCCTCCACCTGGAACACAAATATTACATATAACAATATTTACACATAAAGTATTGCTTACACGCTCTTCCGAGCAAGTTTCAACTAACATTTCCTTCTCACAACAGGTGAACTCTGTTCCTCCACCTGGAACACAAGTATTAAATATAACAATATTTACACACGTATTGCTTACACGCTCTTCTGAGCAAAGTTTCAACTAACATTTCCTTCTCACAACAGGTGAACTCTGTTCCTCCACCTGGAACACAAGTATTACATATAACAATATTTACACACGTATTGCTTACACGCTCTTCTGAGCAAAGTTTCAACTAACATTTCCTTCTCACAACAGGTGAACTCTGTTCCTCCACCTGGAACACAAGTATTACATATAACAATATTTACACACGTATTGCTTACACGCTCTTCTGAGCAAAGTTTCAACTAACATTTCCTTCTCACAACAGGTGAACTCTGTTCCTCCACCTGGAACACAAGTATTACATATAACAATATTTACACACGTATTGCTTACACGCTCTTCTGAGCAAAGTTTCAACTAACATTTCCTTCTCACAACAGGTGAACTCTGTTCCTCCACCTGGAACACAAGTATTACATATAACAATATTTACACACGTATTGCTTACACGCTCTTCTGAGCAAAGTTTCAACTAACATTTCCTTCTCACAACAGGTGAACTCTGTTCCTCCACCTGGAACACAAGTATTACATATAACAATATTTACACACGTATTGCTTACACGCTCTTCTGAGCAAAGTTTCAACTAACATTTCCTTCTCACAACAGGT